GATGATCATCAACATCACCATGATCATGATCATTATCATCATCATCATCATCATTAACATTATCGTTTTTATCATCATATAACATTATCATTATCATGATCATCATCACCTTTACTATCATGATCATCATCATGTTCATCATGATCATCATTGTTTACATGTCTATTTAACTTCTCCCATTCTCATATCTATCATAATACTTAGACAGACCACCTTATTCGTCTTCGTGACGAATTAAATTCTAGTTATTATTATTATTATTTATTTTTATTTCTTCCCGTTTTTTGTTTATCGGTTAACTCAAGATCGGTTGTGTTAATTTCTTTCAATTTCGACACAGTCATAGGTCCTTGTCATGAGACGTGACAGTAACCTTTTCAAGGTCATCAGGTCATCGTGACGTCATCCAGGCGCCATTTTGTGAAATCACGTTATCCATCATATCTTCATGATGCATAAGCAAAGGTCATTCATATTCATATCACATATACTTCAGGTCAAGGGTCAACAAGTCATGTCATCAAAGGTCACATAAAGGTCATGACGCGCACGTACGCGCGCGTCAAAATTTAAAAATGCTCAAAATCACTTAACTATTAAACGAGAGTACGAATCAGGTCATTTTAAGCATTTCAAAATTTTCCGTCCGTAAGTGTCACCGCGCGCGTTGCGCGCGCTCATAACGCGCGGAAAAGGTTAAATTCAAATTGTTTACATGATTTGGATTCCTCTTAACGTAATTGACAATTTACATTAATTTCAGTCACTCTTCATATTTCATAAGGCCGTGAGCGCGCGTCAAAGTTCAAAATCCGCGCGTACTGCTATGGGCAATATAATGCAAATTTGATCAAAAACATGCCATTTTAAAAATCGAAATAGCTTTTCAGATAGTCCATCGACCCCCAATTTTTATATCATGGTTGGAGAAAGCATGAGTTGGAGATATGATTTCATACCACCCTGACTCCTACAAAGTGAAATAAAGTCATCATATTGGCATCTAAACTCAAACAAATGCATTTTGTTGATGACGTCATTTTTGTCTTTGTTTATTTGAGATTATCTCACTTATCGATGATCGATCTTCTCCCAGATATTGATATGTTGTAGCTGAGATTATTCATTATCAGAAATATGCCATTTATTTTTCATTTAGATGACGTCATCATAGTTAAATATTCGATTAAAGGCGGCAATGCATAATTTGTCATATTTGCGTGTTATGTCTATGGGAGGTCACTTTTTTCTAAACATGAATCTGCTTGACAATGTGTGTTGACCAGTATCTCGGTTATTATTCAACAGTTTTCTCCCAAATTTTAGTATGTTGTAGCTGAGACTATTTGCTATCTAAATTTTTCCTCATTTTTCAATCAGATGTCAGTATCATGCTCATACTCATCATCGTCATCATCATCATCAATATTATCATCATCATCATCATCAATGTCACCATCATCATCGTTTACATGTCTATATAACTTCTCCCTTTTTCAATATAGTAAATATTATAATCTATTATAAGACTTGAAGACAGACCACCTTATTCGTCTTCGTGACGAATTAAATTTCTAGTTTATTATTTATGTCAGGGGACTACTATACATACGAGTTTTTAAAACTTCCTTTTTATTCTCTAATTTCTTAATTCCAGAATTGTAAGATTATGATTGTTTCATGTTACTTTTGTATATATATTATGTTATGGTTTTATGATTGAAATAAATGAACTGAACTGAACTTCAACTAATCAACTAGGGGACCCCCGCCTTTAAGTCATAAATGACAGTAATGAGGATTAATGCCCCACAAAAGGGCACTAATATAAAAAGTAGGAATCCTCTTCCGCTTACGGCATTTTGTGCCTAGAAATATCCTAGTGTTGTTGTATAAAACCTTTATTCAACCTCATATATCATACGGAATTGAAGTGTGGGGGAGCACTTACAAGTCTCACTTAAATTGCATACTGTATACACAGAAGATGGCCATACGGACAATCACATTTAGCCATTTTATGAGTCGTTCAGCACCATTGTTTTACGAATTGAAAATCTTAGATATTAACAAGTTCTATGAGTTGTCTCTATGTACATTTATGTATGACCTAGTACATAATAATTTACCTCACTGTTTGACGGATTATTGTGATAAAATTGAGCATAGATACAATACAAGAAAAAGAGAAAAGGGCCATCTACGTATACCACTGTATAAAACAACACAAGGCAAATTTTCAGTAACTTGTGTAGGAACCCGATTATGGAATGAACTTCCCGATGAAATCAAAAACAAAGGGTCTAGAAACACTTTTCGTAAACATCTCAACGATTATTTGATGAATAAGTGATTGAATTATGCAAGTACACATGTATATATTGTAAATAATCTCCATATTACATTTTTGTTGTTTTTTTTTGTCAAAAAAATGCAATTTTTTGTATAAATAATCTGTAGATACATGTATCTATGACTTTTTAACCTGGTATATCCTCTTCATAATTATATTTGGAGTGTAGAAATTGTGCTACGGTATTACTCAACATGTATACTTCTACTGTCAAGTTTTATTTTTTGATAATGATATATTTATTTTTGCCAAGTGTGTGCTAAGAACAGGGGCCAGACTCGACTAGCACATGTGCTATTATTTGGCTCCTTTTCATCACCTTCTATATTCTATGAGAAAAGACATATGTCTAGCATATCAATACTTTGTTAGGTTTTTCTTTAATATGATCTATAATATTCATTTATGAACATGTACCATTCACGATGTATTCAAATGTTTAATCACTGATGTTATTGATGATGAATAAATAAAATCAAATCAAATCAAATCAAATCAAATCAAAATATAGCACATCGACACGGTTTTGATCCTGGGGCCTCACAGTTACGAGGCCATTGCTTTGTCACTGAACCATGACTGTACGCAGCGGGGGCTAGGGTAGGGGGCAGTTTCCATAAATTAAAACAAAACAAAGAAAATGCAATAACTTTTCAATAATTTATTGCATTTTACCCCGGTCCCCAACATAAAAAAATCCTCTGGACGGCCGTGCATTATGGCTCAAGGTATGGGACACACAGAGGCCCCCCCCCCCCCCTGGATCCGCCGCTGGGTGTGACCATGGACCTATAAAACCCCTCGGTTTGCTAGTTGTGCACCGATATCAAGAATTCGATTTCTTGATATCAAGAAATGAATTCGTGATATCAAGAATTGAATTCTTGATATCAAGAAATGATTTTACATTGTAAAGCAATGGTAATTCTTGATATCAAGAATTGAATTCGTGATATCAAGAATTCGATTTCGTGATATCAAGAAATATGTTTAAATGATAAAACGGCTTGCCATACTGCCGTAGCAAAAAGCAGATTTAACAAAAGACTTAACTCCGTTTCGTTGACAATCAGCCATGCATGAAGACTCTCTTCTACGGCTGATTGTCAACGAAACGGAGTTAAGTCTTTTGTTAATTTCGTTTATTGATACGGCAGGCAGCCAGTGAAAACGAATTCGTTTAATAAAATTATGGAAATGCAAGCACTATTTTAAACAAACAGAACTTTGTCATTCCTCGCTCATTTTTCCTGATTGAGGTGTCATATGAAAGGGCAGACACTCAACTTTCTAGAAATGTGAATTTTTCTTCGAAATTCAGATACCGCCCGCCAAATATCTTTTTGGTTTCCTTCCTTCAAATTGCTTTTAATCACTCATGCGTGAAATATGCATTATCTGAGTAGCATCACATGAAAGAGAAGACTCTAACCTTTCTAAATATGTATCATTCCATTAATTATAGTTGTGGTTAAGTTATGATAGAACATCGATACTTCTCGGTTTCGTTTTTTTCTGGGACGCACTGTATAGTTTAGGAAAGGGTTATTCGAACAACTCACCATAGAGAGCTTGGATTCCGGCTATGTCATCAGTCGGGAGCCCTCGATGATCGCTATTGAAATAGTATGGATACATTATGGAACTGATATCTTGAGAATGGCTCAATCCTAGACTGTGGCCCAATTCATGCAAGGTCACCAAATACAGCTCGTCAGGATATTCTGTTAAAAAAGAAGATGAAAACGAATTTGTGAACTTTCTCATTCTTTGTAATTCACATCGTAAGAATAACACCAGAACATAATGACTCCTTAAAAAGACTGCTCGTCAAATGTCCTCAAGTGCGAAACATGACTAGAAATAAACTTTGAATTTTGCGCCAAATTCTCAAGCCACATTTGTACATAGTCCCATTTGCGGATTTCCTGTGTGCAGTGCATGTAAAAGTTGGGTCAATATCATTTCGGTTTAATCTAGAAACTCAATTCTTATTCACTACAAAACCAGCCTTTCCTAACTGCAGACAGTTTCTATCTCCGACATACACTTCGATACTATTACATTGTGTGTTTCACAAATGTTTTATGTTATGTAGTTTGAAAATGTTTACTTATTTCAATATCTTAATATATCAATGATACATAACATCATATGTGCAGCAGATTGGCCTAGGCCTATTCAGGACTCTCCTTCCTGGGGTGACTGGTGTGACCAGCTGTCAATAATTATCTGCTGATACCTTAAATGACTCTCTATCTTAAAAATGACTACTTTGTCTTAAAATACGTAAATGGTGTGGGAGCCAGAGGGAAATGATCAGGGAAGTATCCTCCTTTTTTTTTATGTTTGTGGGGGGGGGGGGGTCCAATGTAAGAATTGCGAGGAAAGGGCTCGAAAATATGATAACATTTTTGGATATCGCTTTTTACACCGACTTTAAGATTCCCATACTAAATTAATATTATATATATGAATAGTAAGATAGTGATTCAAGAGAGAACTTTCGAACTTCATTTTCTAGATATTTTATTACAAAAATCATTAGACACAATGAGTTTCATTGAATTTGATTGTAGGATATAAAGTCTTTACACAAGCACTTCATTTTCCATCATTGAATAGTGTTACATGTCTACAAGACAAACTAACCCAAATTTATTGCGTCGTTTAAGTGAACATCGCCTGAGATGGGATCTGAAACGTCCACAGGCAAGAATGCATGCGCTAAATCAGTCCCATCGAAAGGGTAGCCATCTCCATGGTCACCAGAGACGAAGCTAATGACAATGTCTACACTAGTCGGGTCTGCCGTGTATTCAAAGGTAAGGGCCGAATCATCGCTCCAAAACTGTATTTAAACAATACAAAATATTTTTTTAAATAGTTTAGAAACCATATTACAGTCCAATAAGAAATGGCATTGAAATCTTTGATTTACACCCTCCTCCGCAATAATTTTATTTATTTATTTATGATATTTAGACAGGGTGACTCATATCACAAATAATGGTCGTTTTCCATGAGGCCCTGTTAAACATAATGAGGTACAGTACAGTAGTTTAACAAATATATATATAATAATAATAATAATAATAATAATAATAATAATAATAATAATAATAATAATAACAAAATATTAGGACACTGTTAACGTTTAAAGTGAAATTGAAATCATTAAAGTTGTTAAAAAGCTAAAATCAAGTAAAAGTGCGGGATTTGATGATATTAGCCAGTCAGTGATCAAACAAGTTATACATTTTATTACTAAGCCTCTTGTACATATAATAAATCTTTCCCTTTCTTCTGGTAAGTTTCCTAAAGACATGAAAATTGGTAAGATTATTCCAGTATTTTGAAAAGGAGATCCGCATATATTTTTGAATTACACACACAAAGAAACATTTGGGTAATCTTACTCAAATAGGCAAATAAATGTTGACACTATAGTGACACACTTAACTGAATGCATTAACTCATTAAAGTTGGAGAATACTCATCCAATATGTACTTACATGTACTTTAATGAGTAAAAAGACTCATCGAGAAAATAATCGGGTTAAATACTCGTTTTAAATATCATGTGTGTAAAATTTCACTAGAAAGGTGGTGTATTCACCAAATGTGTAAAATAATGCATTTATTAGATATATTCTCTCGACTGAATGAGTGAGCCACGATTTTTACTCACCATACTAAGTTCCGTCTTTTTGTGTGCGGACCAATAACATTACTCCCCTGTTTTTGTAAAGTCTTAGAAAAGTTAATATACAACAGACTTATAAGTCATATTGATAAAAAATAATCGTTTAAATAATTCTCAAATGGATTTAGATCGAATTCCTCTTGTGATTTTGCACTTATTGACCTCCGTGATCATGTCCTTAATAACATGAATAATAACTTCCATTCACTTGATATATTTCTTGATTGAGTAAGGCGTTTGATGTAATTAATCACAATATTTTACTTTCTAAGTTAGCTGATTTTGGTATACGTGGTATTGCATTTAATTGGTTTAAGGATTATTGATCTGACCGTTTTCATTATACTGTTTATAATAATGTTATTTCTCATCATGAGAGGGTCCGGTGTGGAGTCCCCCAAGGCTCAACACTGGGCCCGCTCCTTTTTTTATTTATATAAATGATCTATGTATTATTTTCTCATATTTTCATTTTGTCCTCTTCGCAGACGACACTAATTTAGTTGCTTATCATAATGATTTTGATGTTCTTGTAGATAAGACAAATGAGGAATTAATTAAGATTATTAATTGGTTTCATACTAATGAATTGGTGATATATTATGATAAAACTAATGTTATGTATTTTTGTAAAGAACGTATAAAACATGATATTTCCGATGTAAGATTATGAATCAAATCCCTTTAAGTTGTTCCCAAACAATCACATTTTTAGGAGTAACCTTAGACGACGAACTATCTCTCAATTGCCATCGTTCCACTATAACTAGCAAGATCTCAAAAACTGTAGGAGTTCTCTGTAAACTTCGTGATTTTTTGCCACAAAAGGAAATGTATATGCTTTATAATTGTCTAGCCTTACCTTGTCTTCAATATTGTAATATTGATTGGGCGAATGTTGGAACAACAAAATTGGAACCGTTACACAAATTACTAAAGAAATTTTGAGAATATGTACAAATTCTTCCTTTAGATCCCATTCCCGACCATTATTCTTCCGTTTAAAAACCCTAAATATATATAATATACATAGATTTCAAATAGCATTAGTAATGTTTCGTACAATCCATAATATTACTCCTTGCAATGTTTCCAAAATGTTAACCATAAATAGATCGGTCCTTTATCACAATACTCGCTTTAGTAATAAATTTCATTATCCCAAAGTTAATACACAGTTTTTATTAAACTCATTAAGACACAGTGGTCTACGTTTGTGGAATAATCTCCGAGAGGAAATAAAGAGTTCAACAAATATAACTTCATTTAAAGCAAAGTTGAAAAGGGTATATATTGATGATTATTCAAATTCATTTTTTTCTCTATTAAATTTACATTTACCATTACCCCCCCCCCTACCCTCCCTGTATGATTGCTGGTGTTTGTTGGTGTATTGTGTTACTGATTAATCTGCATAATTTTATTATCGCAATCGTTTATACCATGACTTGTATTTATTCCTTTACTGGGAATTACTCCATACAAGTTTTTATAAACTTTTTTTAGTTTCCGTTTTTCTCTTACTATGTATATTTGTCATTGTTGTTTATATTATAATATTGTTTTTATGCTTGAGAAAAATTAATAAAGTGAACTGAACTGAACTGAACTTTGATGTACAACCCTGTAACCCAAATTTGTAGCAAAGGTCATGAAGCACATGTGATAAAACCAATTTCGCAACAAATGATCTTGGTCGTCAATTTATAATAAAGCAGCAGTGAATTCACGACACAGTCCTTCATACATGGCATAGGTTAATTAACTTAGGCATATGAGTGAAATAATAATAGAACCTGTAATGCTGCATTGAATACTTGTAGCTGAAGATCGGTTGTGTAGTTTAAGATTCCCCATGTCAAATGAAACTTGTCCCACTTGTATGGCGTAGTCACAAAACGCTTCGTCCTTCTTCCGTTCCCATCGTCCTGCACGTCCGGCAGACCGCAGCGAGGCATGTGTAGCAAGGCCTTGGTCTCCTTATCAAGTTCACCTAATAGATAAGAAAATTATAGTAGAGGCATGTTTACTTTAGGGTCGTTCCTTTCATTTACAACAAACCTAAAAGGTAATACAAAGTTTGGGGAAATTTGAAAAATTGGCTGGATAGTGATTCTTTACAATTTTGATATATTTTGATGCCCCTGTATTATAAGCACTAGAAAATTTAGCCCCTAAAACACTTCTGCTTTCGAGAAAAATTGAATATCAAAATTGACCGGTGCTCCCGCGGTAAATTTTGATAAATTTCAAATAGCGCCTACGGCCGTACAATAGCTGCGACCATGAACATCTCAGAATATAATATATAATTTCCAAACAAGAATAGCTAATCGGTCCAATTTAGTCAACTGAGAAACATTGTTGTATAGCTTAATTAATATCTTGACCTTGAGAGGGAGCTATACAACTTATTATTTACAATTTCATAATAGACTCGATTTCAACCGCGACAACGATCACTGAATACTGTAGGATCGCATATGCTTCCCATATGTTCATTTGAATCAAATTCATGACCCCATAGCAAAACTTTGTATTATATTTTACAGTGTTAAATTGACAAATTCAAACCAATTGCAAACTTCTCCAATACCCCAATGTGGATGACATGAGAATTGTCATTGTCATTGTCAGTGATAAACTTCTAGAACCTGTTTCGCAAAGCCTTTTTTTTAATGACAAAAGACAAAAATGAGTGACAAATCTGTTGATAACCAATCAGAAGCAAGGATTTCAGTATCTAGTATATAACAAAGACTGTTTTGTGAGACGAGGCCCTGGTGTACGATTGTACGTAGTGGACAAGATACATTTTTCTGGTATGGTGTACATTTAATAAAAATACTTTTTGTGCAGAATATCTATCATGCACCTTGGTTTTAAACAATCAAGCTGACTCTGGACAATATGGGGACGTCTAATTAATGGGAAATTTGTGAAAATACAAGTTGTGATTGGGTCAAACAAACTATGGAACGTCGATTGAAAGATTCTCATGCCCAATATTGGTCTGCTTGTATGTACGATAATTCCCAACGTGTTAACTATCGAATCTTCAAACATTCTTTGGCCCGAATTCACATGGTTTAAATTAAACCATGGAGTTAAACCCATGGGTTCAATCCCTTATTTACATAACCCGTGGTCTAGTCGAGGCACTTACGTGCCTTCTATATCTACGTCACTGTATAATCCGAGTATAGTCCAAGGAAAAAATACCGACTGCCTGCCTCTTTACTTTATTACCAGTTGTTGATCAGTTCTCCCTTTAAAGATATTATGTCCCTTTTGCAGCCAACATCAAATTCTGTAGAACTTTGCAGGAATTACATATGTCCTATCTGTGAAATTTAAACATTAGCAGTGTCCTAATATCCAAATTATGCAAGGAAATCTGTGTACTTGCTAGACTTTACTGTCAAACACTATTGAGTGACTGACTGGCTTTTTTTCTTGGTGGAAAAGTATAAAATTGAGAAAGAGATAATAAGAAGAAACAAGGAGGAGGGGGTAATTAACGCATTGTCAATTCGCATTTCATCCACCGAGTATAAGACCTCTGTCCCCCAGAAAGAGAGATAGACACAGAGAGAGAGAGAGAGAGAGAGAGAGAGAGAGAGAGAGAGAGAGGGGGAGGGGGGAGGGGGGGGGGAGAGGGAGGGCGAGTGCGAGATAGAGGGAGTCTCTATATACTGGACGTTGTTATCTTTTATCGATAAAGTCTTGAATTTATGAAACGTAGCATAAACAATAAAAGAATAACCAGATTATCTCATGGTATTGTTTATTATGGAGAAGGAAGAAGAGAGAGGGGAGAGAGAGAGAGAGAGAGAGGGATAAGAATGGTTCATATTACTATATTTCACCCTCATGAAAATGTGTCCTGTTCTTTTGTTATGTAAAACGGTAGAGCCTGTGTTATCTTCTATTTCATATACAAATCAAAATGTTTTTCTGACGTTCATGTGTTTATATTTCGATAGAAAAAGCATAAATTCATATTGTATCAGCTGGACAAATATTACTTTGTCATATGTTTATTTGTACATTATAGGTTTATATAATAATAATTATAGCTAGTTCTTATAAAGCGCTTTTCAGGACCGAAGGACCTCTCAAAGCGCTTAACAGATATACAGGGCGTATCATAATAAAGGATATTGAAGTTTAATGACGATTTATATGAAAACTACTGATTTCATAATCAAGCATTTTATGTCTGTTGTAAAGGACAGAATGTCCTCTTGTTAATGACACCCCGATCATACTACTACTGTCACAGTTGACTGAATAACAAAGCATTACTGTCCACCATGTGAAAGGTGCACTGTGACAAGTTAGCATTCACAGATAAATTCTAAAGATTAGTGCTTGTGTCAGCCCAGACATATCGAAATGCTGAACAATGAGTGGATTATGTGTCTAAGAAGGAAATGTTATCAAACTTGGCACAGTGCACCTTTCACATGGTGGACAGCAATGCTTTGTTATTCAGTCAACTGTGACAGTAGTATTATGATCGGGGTGTCATTAACAAGAGGACATTCTGTCCTTTACAACAGACATAAAATGCTTGATTATGAAATCAGTAGTTTTCATATAAATCGTCATTAAACTTCAATATCCTTTATTATGATACGCCCTGTATATATATATATATATATATATATATATATATATATATATAGCATTATTACCCCGGTCATCGGATTCAGGCTTACCGGCAAACAATGTATGCACATTCTCCACTCCCTGGGGAGCATTCCAGCCAGGCGTCATTTTTACATAAGAAACAAATAACCCTGATACATATATAATCATATATGACTTGTTTATTATTTCCTGTGTTTGTAATCTTGTTTTTTTGTGAACAAGGCCTCTCAGAAAACGGTTTTAATTAATACTGAGAGAGCTACCCTGTTTAAATAAATAAAATAAATAAATGGGGAGAGACATATTTTTTGCTCAAAATATTCATCCCCCTTGGTAAAAAAAAATTTAACCTTCAAAATAAATGATGAATAGGTTTAAACTGATTACTTTGAATATTTGATTTACTGATTAATCTGGTTTTCAATAATATTTGCTTGGCTTGATATTTCAATTTTTCCCACTATCACCCATGCGTAATGCGTGCACTCATTGTCAATACCCTGAAGCCATGGTAATCATTTGTGGTGTGCTGTCCCTTGTATCACAAGCGGAAGGGGGATGAAACGCAACCATATACGGGGCCTTCACGTTTTGCCAAAGAAGGACAAAACGTGTTACCAATGATTCACAGCAAACAATAGTGTTTCGATAAACAATTCCGTTTGCCATATTTGGGCAATGCAAACAAATAAGGTAAAGTAAAAAGTAATTCTACACTAATATCAAGTTGATTTTTTTAATAAAAGCAGAAAATAAGAGAAACAAATTAGTGAAAATTTGAGCAGTATCCGATTAAAAATAGGAAAGTTATGAATTTTTGAAGTTGTCATCAAACATCTGACAATCTTTGATATCAACGTACAACAGAGTTCGATCCTTATGTTTAAATTCATGAATAACCTGTTCCTGAATAATTAAGAATTACTTTGTGTCAAATAACCCTATCCATTCTTACCTAGCTACTCTGAATTTATTAAACTTTCATTTGATAAATCCTAAATTATTGATCCTGTATAAATCAATAAGACATTTCTCCCCTCGGTTAAATATTTGGTTTCTTTCTGTCTTCCTAAGTTTTGAAATCGTTGTCTCTTTCTTTCGTAGTTTTTTCTTGTTCTTGTTCTTGTTCTTGTTCTTCATTACTTAGCCAGAAATCCCTAATCTATATAGCCACGGCAAAGTTAAATAAATTCGTACCCGCTCTTCTTTCTTTATTTATTTCTTTCTTCCTTCTTGTTTTGCTTTTTCTTATTGGTCTTTTTTTCCGTTCTTCTTTTTCCTTTTCATCATTATCTAGCCAGGTGTGTTAGTTGTTCTCACTTTTAAGGAATACAAAATACGTATGCACTCTTCATCTTATTATTCTCCTAGTCCATGTCATCTTCCTCCTCCTCCTCCTCCTCCTCCTCCTTCTCCTCCTCCTCCTTCTCCTCCTCCTCCTTCTCCTCCTCCTCCTTCTCCTTCTCCTCCTCCTCCTTCTCCTCCTCCTCCTTCTCCTCCTTCTCCTTCTTCTTCTTTTACTCTCTGTTCTCCATCACAATAAAATAACAAAATCGTTTGAGCACTTTTTTAAACCATCACCCGTCGAACTTTTCTCTTTCTCTTATTCATCCCAACCCATTACGGTGCACTTTACCTCTTACATGTTTATACCGAACCTAACCCTATACCCCCCCCCCCCCCACGGCCCCTCCCATGTGAAAGAAACGTTGTGGAATCGATCAGAAAATGTTGATCATCTAGCATATAAGTATTGGTGTGTACTGCAAGGTTCTGGAATCATCAAAATGATAAGAAATTTGGCCCAGTCTTGGTAAAGTTACAAGCATTGTACACAGAAAGATGTAGGCCTATATGGGACTACGCGACATGTGCGCGATATCTATCAGGTCCAAATAGATATAATAATTTACCAAATATATCAATTAGCAGGCGGTTTCTCGGCAAATTTGTATCATCACGTATTAGTCAAAACAATTTTGTTTCACATGATTGGTAATAAGAGCTTCAATTTCATTTTTTGAAAGGGGCTCGTTTCCAAAACTGGTCTTTACCTTTAATGTTTTTACCGATTCATTTTCTATTCAACTTTCTCTTTTTTTCTGTTTCTATTTTCATTTTCATTTTCACCTCCCTCATATTCTGTCCTTGTTCTAATATTCCTTCTTCTGGAGGATTGTGGGGGGGGGGGGGGTGTGAATGGAAAAGAAAACTTCTTAGTGCAAACAAATCACCTAGATCCAATACAAGTTTCGTCAATTAAATAAGAAGCAATAATTGCCTAGAAAATATTTTTTTATTCCGCAATAAACGCAGAAACAAATAACCCTGATATATCATGTATGACTTGTTTGTTATTTCCTGTATTTGTAATCCTTTTTGTGTACAAGGACTCTCAGAAAAACATTATTATATAATACTGAGAGAGCTTCCCTGTTTACATAAATTAAATAAATAAATAAATGGGGAGACAGTCATCTTTTGCTCAAAATATTCATCCCCCTTGGTAAAAATACTTTTAACCTTCAAAATATTGACCAATATGTTTGAACTGATAACAGTTACTTTGAATATTTGATTTACTGATTAATCTGATTCTCAATAATATTTGCTTGGCTTGATATTTCAATTTTTCCCCACTATCACCCATGCGGAATGCGTGCACTCATTGTCAATACCCCGAAGCCATGGTAATCATTTGTGGTGTGATGTCCAATGTATCAAAAGCGGAAAGGGGATGAAACGCAACCATATACGGGGCCTTCACGTTTTGCCAAAGAAGGACAAAAACGTGTTGCCAATGATTCACAGCAAACAATAGTGTTTCGATAAACAATTCCGTTTGACATATTTTGGCAATGCAAACAAATGAGGTAAAGTAAAAAGTAATTCTACACTGATAACAAGTTGATTTTTAATAAAAGCAGAAAATGAGAGAAACAAATTAGTGAAAATTTGAGCAGTATCCGATTAAAAATAGGAAAGTTATGTATTTTTGAAGTTGTCATCAGACATATGACAATCTTTGATATCAACGTACAACAGAGTTCGATCCTCATGTTTAAATTCATGAATAACCTGTTCCTGAATCATTACGAATTACTGTGTGTCAAATAAATCTATCCATTCTTACCGAGCTACTCTGAATTTATTAAACTTTCATTTGATAAATCTTGAATTATTGATCCTGTATAAATCAATAAGACATTTCTTTCCTCGGTTCAGTATTTGGTTTCTTTCAGTCTTTCTAATTTTTGAAATCGTTGTCTCTTTTTTTCGTAGTTTTTTTTTGTTCTTGTTCTTTTTCTTCATTACTTAGCCAGAAATCCTTAATCTTCTATATAGCCACGGCAAAGTTAAATAAATTCGTACCCGCTTCTCTTTCTTTCTTTACTTCTTTCTTCCTTCTTGTTTTGCTTTTTCTTATTGGTCTTTTTTTCCCCTTTTTCTTTTTCCTTTTCATCATTATCTAGCCAGGTGTGTTAGTTGTTCTCACTTTTAAGGAATACAGAATACGTATGCACTCTTCATCTTGTTATTCTCCTAGTCCATGTCATCTTTGTCCTCCTCCTCCTCCTCCTCCTCCTCCTCCTCCTCCTCCTCCTCCTCCTCCTCCCCCTTCTCCTCCTCCTCCTCCTCCTTCTCCTCCTTCTCCTTCTCCTCCTCCTCCTCCTCCTTTTCCTTCTCCTCCTCCTCCTCCTCCTCCTCCTTTTCCTTCTCCTCCTCCTCCTCCTCCTTTTCCTTCTCCTCCTCCTCCTCCTCCTCCTCCTTTTCCTTCTCCTCCTCCTTCTCCTTCTCCTCCTCCTCCTCCTCCTCCTCCTCCTCCTTTTCCTTCTCCTCCTCCTCCTCCTCCTCCTTTTCCTTCTCCTCCTCCTCCTCCTCCTTTTCCTTCTCCTCCTCCTTCTCCTTCTCCTTCTCCTCCTCCTCCTCCTCCTTCTCCTTCTCCTCCTCCTCCTCCTCCTCCTCCTTTTCCTTCTCCTCCTCCTCCTCCTCCTCCTCCTTTTCCTTCTCCTCCTCCTTCTCCTTCTCCTCCTCCTCCTCCTCCTCCTCCTCCTCCTCCTCCTCCTCCTCCTTCTTCTTATACTTCTTGATACTTTTTGCTTCCATTCTTCCTTTTCCCCCATATTTCTCTTTGTTTCTTTCTTTCTTCTTCTTTTACTCTCTGTTCTCCATCACAATAGAATAACAAAATCGTTTGAGCACTTTTTAAACCATCACCCGTCGAACTTCTCTCTTTCTCTTATTCATCCCAACCCATTACGGTGCCCTTTACCTCTTACATGTTTATACCGAACCTATAACCCTATACCCCCCCCCCCCCCCACGGCCCCTCCCATATGAAAGAAACGTTGTGGAATCGATCAGAAAATGTTGATCATCTAGCATATAAGTATTGGTGTGTACTGCAAGGTTCTGGAATCATCAAAATGATAAGAAATTTGGCCCAGTCTTGGTAAAGTTACAAGCATTGTACACAGAAAGATGTAGGCCTATATGGGACTACGCGACATGTGCGCGATATCTATCAGGTCCAAATAGATAGCCACGGCAAAGTTAAATAAATTCGTACCCGCTCTTCTTTCTTTCTTTATTTCTTTCTTCCTTCTTGTTTTTTCTTTTCTTATTGGTCTTTTTTTTCCCCTTCTTCTTTTTCCTTTTCATCATTATCTAACCAGGTGTGTTAGTTGTTCTCACTTTTAAGGAATACAGAATATGTATGCACTCTTCATCTTGTTATTCTCCTAGTCCATGTCATCTTCCTCCTCCTCCTCCTCCTCCTCCTCCTCCTCCTCCTCCTCCCCCTTCTTCTTCTTCTTCTTCTTCCTATACTTTTTGATACTTTTTTCTTTCATTCTTTCTTTTCCCAATATTTCTCTTTGTTTCTTTCTTTCTTCTTTTTCCTTTTTGTTCTTATCACAATAAAATAACAAAGTCGTGCGAGCACTTATGTAACCACCACTCGTCACTATATGAACCTTTCTCTTTCTCTTATTCATCCCAACCCATTACGGTGCCCTTCACCTCTTACATGTTTACACCGAACCTAACCCTATACCCCCACGGCCCCACCCCTCCCATATTAACCCATCCACTGAGGGGGATCCTCTCACTGGAAGCCAATTATAGCCGTCGGCTCTAGTTCCGGTTGTCTGTTGTCTGAAATAATTTCGTTCATAGAAATTGGCTAATATTTTACCGATTCATTTTCTATTCAACTTTCTCTTCTTCTTCTGTCTCTATTTTTATTTTCATTTTCACCTCCCTCATATTCTGTCATTGTTCTAATATTCCTTCTTCTCCTTCATAAGGCGAGAAAGGGTGAGAAAGAGGGAGAAAGAGAGAGAGAGAGAGAGAGTAACACAGATAGTGGCAATGGGGTAGATAGGGAGAGAGAGAGAGAGAGAGAGAGAGAGAGAGAGAGAGAGATAGATACTGAGAGTGGGAGGATTGTGGGGGGGGGGGGGTATGAATGGATAGGAAAACTTCTTAGTGCAAGAAAATCACCTAGATCCAAGAAGCAAAAATTGCCCACAAAATAATTCCCTATTGTATTTTGATAAAATTGGTGAATGTTGGTCATCAAACCTATCACACCCCCCCCCCCCCCCGAAAAAAAATAGAAGAAAAAAAAACGAAAAAAAAACAACCTTACCTGTCTGTTCAAGGCTATGGAAATCTTGAAAGTCCTCAATTGCTCGTTTAATGTCGCTGTCAGTGCTTGGTTCCCCGTCCGAGAAACCATAACGGTTAAGCAGGGTCTGTGGCAATAATAGATGACATAGATATGAAAATAAGAGTTAAAGAGGTAGCGCTTCTAATCCTATCCGTTGAGGGGGGGGGGGGGCACATACTGCGGCGGGCTTAATAGTGGAATCCTCGGGCCTACTGCCTGTCTATTATTTCTTTTCTAAACACACAGCAAAATCTCTCTCTATGTTATTACTTCGGTTTCCAGCACTTCTTCAACTTATATTGAAACAAATAGAATAGCATTAAAGAATATAGAGCGACTGCGTTAGAAGATTTTTCTAGAGAATTTAAGAGACTAACTATTTGTACACCTACAACGAGATTGAAAGAAACATAACTTGCGCTCCGTATTCGATGCCACAAAAGTAACCTTAACAAATGCTTACATAAAGGTAGAAGGAAATAGAAATGGTGTGGAAAGGAAACTAAATTTTCTTTTTCCCCTTTATTGATTTTCTCCCCATCTCTCTTTCTTCTTTCCTCCTTTACTCGTTTGTTCTGTATTTCCCTTTAATCTTTCCTGAATTCTTCTTCCCCCTTTCCTTCCCTCCTGTTTGGGGTAGAATTGTAAGTGTATAGCAGCCCTCAAGCCCCCCCCCCCCCCACCCCAACGAGTAGGCCAGTAGATAGACCATCTCCCTATACCATGAAATGAGATTGAGATTGCCCAAAATTTAATATTGACAATTCCAACATATTCTAGGATGCCGCATGCCCCCTGTGGACTATATGAATACAAAATGTGTATATCAGTATGGTACATGATCTTAAAATTTCTTTGTCAGAGACAGCCTTTTTTTCGTTTTAAAGCTTTGTCTACTATTGAAATGGCCATTATATCATTATGACAAATATTATACGGATATTGACTGGCAGGGGTGTAATATAACATTCTCAGGACCGCTGAAGGGAGTGATATTTTCCCAAGTGGTTATATTTTCCCGAAGCACGAAGCTGAGGGAAAATATGGTCACGAGGGAAAATATAACTCCCATCAGGTCCGAAGAATTGTAAATGCCCCCTGGCAGTCAATATGTGTTATATTAGATAGCATTGGTTTGAATATTTAAATAGGGGTCCATTTTTTTTGCCACACTTTTTTTTTTTCTAGGACAAACCAAATTTTGAAATAAAAAGTGAAAAAAATAAATTAACGAAAACAAATATTTCAAGATAATTCGAGAGAAAACAATAAAAAATAAAAAAAGCTTATAAAAAAAAAAACATTTTTTGGGAAAAAATAATTTCAAGGTGAAAAAAACTCCGAGAAAAAAAAATTGACCCTCGGTATTGGTGAAATTTGTGTAATTTGGTGACATACAGTCCTCGACAGGGCGACATGCATTGGTTAAACATATATTCATTTCACCAGCTGGTCAATAAATCCATCGAAAGTGACCGGCCAGGAAAATATAACAATTACGATCCTCGCAATTGTTATCACGTGACGAGCTCTGGACCAATCACATCTCGGTATCTATCAAAGCTATCTAACATTAATACAATTCAATTCAATTCAATTTTATTTCGTCCAATAATGACATGGAAATTCATTGTGGTATTTTTTATGTTGCGTTCACATCCAAATCATGTATAAAAAGACACCAAAAACATGACATTGAAATAGGAAATAATTACATTCGAAATCGGTTAGAAATTGGAAAAACATAACATGACACCGACACAATGCACAAATATACTTAGTAAACAGGCCCCAAGATTTTCAACATAACGTTAGTAGACCTACACAACACCCCGATCCCTTGCAGACTCATGCACCCAACTCGAACACATTACGAAACTGGTCCATCGAAAAGAGGCGTCTCCATGCACATAATAACAAGAGTTACATGTTGGTGATGAATATATGAATATGTGAATATTATTACATGCAGTTTTTTTGTTTACTATTACGCTTACATGACTACGAACTTAGCAACACAGCACATGTCAACGAGTACGGAAAGTCAGAGTTTAATTGCATTTAAAAGCCCAGCTCTTTAGACATAATAATTCTATCATTGTTCATCAACATCATTATTAATTAATACCTGAACAATATTATAAAAACTTATACATACCATTGCTCGTTTGTCGGTAAGCTCTGCCAGGCAAGAACCCACAATGCAAGCCAACATGAGGGCCACAAAACTCTCTTTCATTTTTGTCCTCTAGAGATCTCTGCTTGTCGAAATAAAAATCTAACTTGAAGATCGTCCCGAATATACTTCACCTCCGGTATTGTCTCTGGAAACTGTGATGAACGAAGTGTAATGAGATCATCTTTTTATAGCCTTGCAACTGGGTATGAAATATAATTATTGAGATATGTGAGATAGTTCCTCTTTCTTTGTTGATATGGTTTGCTTTATTAAGAATAAAACAAAACCGCATTCGTGTAATATTGTTGAAAAGGGAAGCAAGGTGAGAGCGTCATCAAATCGTCCAGACAATTAGCAAATGTTTATGTCAAACAAAGTCTTTTCAAACTTTATTTTGTTGTGGCTTGTTTAAAACGGGGATATGAAGAGTAAAGTGATATAATGTGTGGTATGAGGCCGCACGTAGGTCACGGGCTACACACAGGACTTTGCTTCAGTTCCAGAGCATAGATTTGTAAATAAGTGAAGCCTTGAAACTTTGAATTGTGGTGATATTGTTTATCGACCTATCACACCAAATGATTTGTTCCTTATATAATATCGAACGGATTATTCTCCTTCCCAACCCCACACTAACTTTTTGAAGAAGAAAACCCCCACAATATACACTACCAGTTACCTATCATGATGAGCACTCTGAGCAGCAGGTAAACGTTGTCTTACAGTATGTACCCCCCTCAAATTCTTGATTCTTTTTCGGCATTCGATATGAGAAAAGAACGCAAGTTTCATAGTTCTTCGGCTAACCTTGCCGCGCGAGGGTGAGTCATCTCGACGGATTTGACGTACGTAGATCACCCTCACCAGTGGCGCTGGTAATTTTCACCTGCTCGTTTATTGGAGACCATCGCCAAAGAACAGTTCATGGGAGGGGTAAGGGAGGGCTTATTCGAGGAGGGATGGGGAACGTGAAGCGGGAAGAGCGGAGAACTACTTCTCAACAAACTAAAAAATGGCCACATAGCAACTCTCAAACGAACAAAGGCTATAGTCACAAAATATATTGCAACTGTTTAACCAAAAAGAGCGTAATTATCAATTACTTTATTCATTCTAACTTTCATGGTACACGGAGAGGACCTAAAGCCGTCGACCGCCTGGTCGCTTACTTACAAGCATTTATGCTTTCTTAGCAGTCAGATAAAATAACCATCACATCCAATTGCTGGAGCTATCGCATGGACATGCCATATAGCACTACATGTGTGTAATTGGGTTTTCACACACTTGTATCAATCATATATGATTATTTACGTCTGGGGACCGACCTTTAACGTCACCATCCTAAAGATGTGACTGATCAGTTTCGAATCGGGGTCCCTCTGAGCCAGCTTGTAGGCGTAGACAGAGAGCTGACCAAGTGAACGTACCACTAGACCAACTCACATCTCCCATAGCACCAACTGTTGGAAGGCATTCTATTGCGACATAATATATTCAACAGAACACAATATGTATTAGGCATAGTATTTAACATTCAGATTTGGTTAGTAATCAAAAATATCAATGTAAACGATCGAGTCGGGCGTAACGTAGAAATAAACAAACCACGGGAATAGAAATTAGATTACGTCATTCATCTTTTGAATGACAGATACTTAGACAGAGTTTATAAAAAGCATATCTCCTAATAAAACCATGATATGTACTATAATATATCCTTATTTCCTATTTTATAATCAAAGGAAATGTTCAATATTTGTATGAGTAACTCGTCTACTAGTTTACATTATGCACATATGAAGTCAATCCAAACGTTAGTGTAAATATTTTGATACGATATAATTAATTCTTCCTTTCCATTGTGGTTTTCGAAAACCGCAGATCAGTCAGAATTTGGAAAGTAGAAAAGCGTTTTAGCCTCCCATTTCCTTCTCATTACGGGTCAAATTTGTCTTTAATTTTGAGAATCAAAAAGCTTTACTGTGTCTGTCAACAAATAAAAACAAGTACCTGCAACTTGAACATTGTCAAGTATGGAGCATACATCTCTTGTTCTATAACTCATGAACATGATTAAATGATTGTCTTATCTGTTATCCACAAGTAATGACATGTTATTGTTTCCTGGTGTTGATATATAAACCTCTCCTGGATTAAAGATGATTACATGCAGGCGCGGATGCTCACTACCCTACCCCCCCCCCCCCACTGAGCCCAATATTGGTCGGCGCGATTTTCATATTTTAGCCCCCTCCCCCTTCCTATTATATCGGCAAAGCCTTGATCCGCCACTGATTACATGTATTGAGAAATCTTAACCTGCATGTAAAATGTAATTGTATACCGTATATTGTTTGTGATATTGCACAGCTTGTTAAACAAAAGTTGCGATTGTCTTTTTTATAAATAGTAAAATATCCACGTCTCCTTTTTCTTACATGTGAGTAAGACTATATCCCAGTTTGTTATTGGTACATGCATGGTACATAATTATATCCACAGATCTTTTTAAATAGGAGCAGTCCCACTTTCAGCATTTTAGAATAATCACTGCCAAAGTGATGGAGATCCTTCTTGAAAATCATTTGAAAAGAATACTTCCACCTGTGTATCATAGAATGTGTCGTCCTTGCATAAATTTACATGTATAATAATTACATAACTTTCATTAACACGTATCAGTCTCAATGGGTTTTACAGTTTTTTTTAACAAATGACCTTTATCTGCCCATGCTCAGGTGTTGTCTACGAACTAGCTTTAAGTCAGGGGAATTAAGTTGGAGAAATTGTTTATTTCTTTATTATAATTATATGTCGAGATTTTTAGATATTACAAATACAATATAAATATGATTAAATAAAACTGATACATTTTTAGTCTCCTTTCAATGATATTTCCAGAATGTTTACACTCACTTAGAAAATGTCAGCATTAAATAAAGTACATGTTATATTTTCTTATGAATGGTGGTTATTTTACCTGACTGCTAAGAAAGCATAATGAAAGCATTATGACAGCTACTTCAAACGTTATGTGTACTCCTCATAGTTAAGTCGAGTGTTACTTATTTCGTAAGGGTCAATGTACTTTAGTAGAGGGTGTTCGGTGTTCGGAATAGCGATCGAGCCTCTTCTTCATTTATGAATAGCGACCTTATGGAAATCTCACACAAGCAGACAAAACTAAACTCGAACGTCCTAGGAAAATTGCTCAATGCATTATCGGCGTTGAATTACCACCCCTATCAGTTTTGTTTGAAGATCGCTCATTGGCTAAAATAACTTCTATTATGAAAGACCCATCACATCCACTATTTTCTTGTTTTACTTTTAACCGCTCAGGAATCCGCCTGCGTGTACCAATTACCCGTAGAGCCAGATACAGAAATTCTTTTATTCCAAATTCCATGCACATCTATAATGCACAAATAACACGAAGTTCTCAGCTGTAAGCGAAATAATAGCGATAATAGCGATTATGATTATTTGTTAATTTTTTCTCTACCCACCCAGTAAAGTGATTTTGTAGGGAATTGGAAAGTTGTCCACCTTATCACCTGTGTGGGTCAAAAACATCCGTTGTTTAGCTCGGCTGCTGATTTTTTTTCTACATTACTATGGCGATGTATTTTATGTCATGCATTATAATCTGATTGGAAATTATGCCATCTCTCCTTCTCTATTTCTCCCTTTTCCATTTGGACCCTTACCAACTCTCCCTATATTTCTCCCTTTTATCAGTCCTTCGAGCTTGAGCTCTCTTTTTCTTTCTCTTTCTGCTCGTATTTCGATTGTGATGCTGCTCCTATTCTACTTTCATATTCTCATCTATATTCATACCTGAATTTATTCATGATGTGATTCACAATTGTATTGAAAATTCTTGCTATGTATAAGTCATATACCGGTACATGTACATTGTAACTGTCTTGTTATGTTTTGTGCTGAAAGCCGGAGGACCGTACCTGATCATAGACTTTTTCTTTATAGAGTGTTGACGCCCTTCTGGTTTTCAGCAGACGACACCATGTTGTTGTCTTATGTTTCACATATTACATGTTACACCAATGGAAAACAATTTCTATATTATATATATACAATAAAATCTTGAATCTTGAATCTTAAATCATTTCGTATTATGACTAGTGACCCTCTCCTCGTTTTATGAATAGCGACCCTCTCCTCATCTTATGAATAGCGACCCTCTTCTCCTATTATGAACAGCGACCCTCATCTCTCAGTATGAATAGCGACCCTCATTTCGTATTATGAATAGCGACCCTCTTCTCGTTTTATGAATAGCGACCCTCTCCTCATCTTATGAATAGAGACCCTCTTTCATATTATGAATAGCGGTCCTTATGAGTAGTGACCCCCAATGTAAATAATAAATAGCGCCCCTTCATGTTTAGCCTATGAATAGCAACCCTCATTTCGTATTATGAATAGCGACCCTCTTCTCGTTTTATGAATAGCGACCCTCTCCTCATCTTATGAATAGAGACCCTCTTTCGTATTATGAATAGCGGTCCTTATGAGTAGTGACCCCCAATGTAAATAATAAATAGCGCCCCTTCATGTTTAGCCTATGAATAGCGACCCTCATTTCGTATTATGAATAGCGGTCCTTATGAGTAGTGACCCCCAATGTAAATAATAAATAGCGCCCCTTCATGTTTAGCCTATGAATAGCGACCCCTAGTTCGTATGATGAATAGCGGTCCTTACGAGTAATGACCCTCAATTTATGAACAGCGACCCTCATCTCTCAGTGTGAATAGCGGTCCTTACGAATAACGGTCCTTATTTCCTTTTTGAATAATCTTTTTTATATTTTTTTTTATGTCCCCTTTTTCGTTTCTATGAATAGCGGTCCCTTGAATAGCGAGCAGACCCTAAATCTACGGCCTACCGTCGTGGCCGTGCTTATCCTTTAAAAAAACGATAATCCTACTCATATTGTCTTACTCGATCTCTTTTTTTCATTCTCCGTCTCTCTCTTTATTACTCCTCTCCGTCATTGTTATTACAAACTCTTCAACAGGCCTCATAATTTGCTCACAAATCCTTGTTTATTTACTTGTGGCAAAATTTAATTGCTTACGTCATGGTTAAGACCAGAACCAAATAGATTGTGTTGGATTTGTAGAGTCGGTAGTAAATATAAACTTGACTGCAAATTATGATTTTAGTTTACGGACGGTCTTAATATTAATATATATAT